ATGGGTCGTGTGGGAATCGAACACACAACCTCCAGGTTTTCTATTTATTATCCACCATCAACTAAACTGCCTTAAAACAAAAATTGGTTCGCGTGGGAATCGAACACACAACCTCCAGGTTTGCTATCATTATCCACCATCAACTAAACTGCCTTTAAAAAAAATTTTTTTTTTAACTGGCTCGTGTGGGATTCAAACCCACGACCTTCAAAAAAGAAATAAAAAAATAAAAATAAATAAAGAAATTTTAAAAAAAACTTGCCCCGTGTGGGAATCGAACCCACGATCGCCGAGTTTACTACTCCTGATCCAGCATGACTGAATGGAGGGAGGTAAACCGCGGCCCCTAAACCATAAATGCGACAAACCTAGTACCACACCAAGTACCAGTTAGTCAACTCTAATCCCACTAGAAAAAATTCTTCGTATATATATACACTGCAGGTTAATATTACGCATGGTCATGGTGTCAAAAAAAATGGGCCGTGGGCCAAAAGGGTTTATTTTTTGTCTAAAAATGTATAATTAAATTTATAATCGATTTATGATTGTTACCATCTCCATAACTTACACACTTTTTTAAAAATAGACAAAAATGTTGGAAAAATTCATTATGCAAATTAGAAAAAAATAGACCAATCAGGTTACGGGATTTAATGTATTGTACTCGTTGATGACGTCGCGAATTCCGAAGTAACAACAAACAACAACCTTTCATGTCCCAGGCGGGGAACCAATCAATTCGAGAGGATGCCACTTCGAGCGAAGGCTAATTCAAGCGAATTCGAGCGGATTTTTTTTTTTTCGAGCGGATGCTAGTTCGAGCGGAAGAAGATCCACTTGTGCGAACAACAACCTCTGCGAGTTACTTTAAAATTTCTATTTTTGAGCTAGCAATTTACTCAAGCTTTGCCTGGGAGGCAGGGGAAAGCCCCAGTTCGTTTCGGGGAAGACGGGGAAGACGCCTATAGCCTTAGGTATAGCAAGTCGTATTTAATGGATTTTTAGGTTAATAAATAATAAAGTTCTATTTGTTCTGAATGTATATGGTAAGTGAATCCTATTGGGAATAGGGGAATAGGAATTTCCTTTATAGCCTGCCATCTCTATATTAGAGTAAATAAATAAATAAATAAACAAACAAAAATACCCACATTCATAAAAAAAATAATGACATATCTTAAATTATACTAACTTAGTCAATGTTATCCTTTCTACAAGTTAAAGAAAAAACAGTTGGTTTTGAACTTTAGAAGAAAATTGGTATGATGTCATTATTACTGTACTGTTGATACTTGTCACGAGGGCGGATCAAAAATTTTTCAAAGGGGGAGGGGGAACACAACAGTTCCAGAATAGATAAATGAGTAGCACTTAACATTAATATGCATTGACATTTTTTAAATAGTGGCAAAACCGCCCCTGACTACACCATTCATTTGTGCACCTTCTGACACACCACGTAAAAATAATTTAAATTCCTATGGTGATTAACAATTACACAATTAAAGTTGCTCCCATTTACATATAGGCCTAAATCGTAAATCTACAAATACAATTACAAAATTATATAATTCAATTACAAATATAGTTTGCTTTTTTTAAATACAAAACCCCAATCAGTGGTGGCGGATCTGGGGGGGGGGTGAATAGGGTGGCTAGCCCCCCCCCCCCCCCCTTTGTTTACCGTGAACAAAAAATAATGGTCACTCGTCTTGTGTGTGTGTTTCTCTCGTAAAACATGCTCTTTCTTTTTTAAGCATTTCAATTTGTTGCTTGAAGTTTTCTCAGGGCATTGCCTACTTAATCACCAAATTGGGGGACTTCGTCTTCGCTTCGCATCGTTAAAAGCTATATTAACTATTAGCACATTACAGTGGAGGATCTGGGGGGGGGGTCAGGGGGACGAACCCCACTCTGTGAAGAAACGTAACAAAATACTATGGGGTCCTGGCTTACAAAATCCATGCGGATCCAGACCTTCGCCCACTGCGCCCAGGCGAAGGTCAGGGTGAGAATTCAAAATAAAATGTGACCATTTTTTCCAACAATCATACAGTACTTACTTTCCTTGACACTTATTTTGAACATTACCATTATGAAAATGTTTAAATCCACACAATCCTATACATTACACTTTTAAACTGATTGTACTGTAGGCCCTACCAGAGAGATAGAGAGAGAGGTATATTTCCAATACATTATGGTCTTCCACTTCTATAGCGCATGATACCGAGCAAGCAAACGTTATGTAACCACTAATAATACTTAGGTCCAGTGGCGTAGGTATGGACAGTGCAGTCAGTGCATAGCACTGGGGCCCGGGGCTATTGGGGGCTCGTTCAATAGGTCTAATGATCTAAAAATGTAACTTTAAAAAAATCCTATTTAAACTTTAAAACGACCCTTCAATAATAATAGGTTTAGATGATATATATTATTGATTATATTCATTACAATTTACCTATTACCTATTTCCCAAACGCTGCAAGTAAAAAAACAAAACAAGCCCTTACGTATACGATGCACTACCGTACTTTTTTGAAATCACATTTCTAAAACAATAAAATATCGACACGCATATTTGTGTTTGTGGTATTAAAATTGGTTGAACTATTATTGTGTACGTTTTTAAACACTTCAGATCATCATAACATCATGAATACATTTTAGATTCAATTCACTGCAAGTAGGTCGATGACTGTTCTATTATTGAATGGTAAATGTTATTTTCGTGACGATAGACAATAACCTGGATTTGCGTCAGGAGAATCAATTATGGGGCCTATATGTATTTTGCCCAACCTGTCGTGAAAATATATTGAATACTCAGTGCGTGATTCAATATACATTTTTAAATCACATTTCTAAAGCAATAAAATATCGTTACGCACATTTGTATTTGTGGTATCACTGTG